CCCTGCAGTTACTGTGTCAGATGATCGGATTGGTCATTCAAAATATGCAGGAGATTATCTTCATCATAGTGCCATTCCTTATCAATCATCTGAAAAGAACAATATTCTTATGTTCAAATCCAGTTCTTCCCTTCCATCTACAGGTGCCTTGGATTTTACTTTAGGTATCAGGAAAATGACATCTCAAGATTCTGGAGTATGGAAGTACGATGGAAATGGTTTTTCCAATTCAATTGTTGGGTCAAGTAGAAATTCTCATGGGTTGGCTAATACCTACAGTGCTGCACCTGGAAGAGGGGTTTATGCTAATAGGTCGCAAACACATGCGTCAGCTCATTCAGCTCCTGTTTGGCCTGAAACTGGAGATTCAATGGGTAACATTCTGCAGTAACAATCAACAGCTTTTAATAGGAGCTATCTATGGCTTTGTCCATATCTATTTGTTTTAATATTATTGAGGTGGCAGCAAATTTGTATTCTGAACTGCGGGAAGAGTCTCAAGACAATGCACGTTCCCGTAATGCATATTTTGACCAGGTATCTCCTTGGAAAATTATTGCTTATATTTCAACTGATATATTAATAGGTTAGATATTTTTGTTAGGAGGCAATGAAAGTTGTTGAACCATGTTTCCTCTTAATTTCTCAACCACATTTTTCCTTTTACTATTTACATTTTTTCATTTACTTGTGCCCCTTTTGCAACCCTGGAAATGATTCCTGTAACTTTTCAGTTGTCAACCAAGTTATATCAGGAATCAATTAGCTTAGTTAGATATACAACCAAATAGAAATGATTAATAGAATACAAACTCCAATAATCTTTTAAGATAAACTTCATTTTAAGTAATTCAGCTGTTGAGCTTTCCCAACCCCAGGTCTAGTGACCATGGCAGTAAGGTATCGGTCACAATTTTCCATTAAGTTATCCTGAATAAGCATTTTCTTTTTATGAATAGCCCTTGCTTTCCAAAGTTGATGATACTGTTCAAAGCACAGAGTGCATCTAGTCATCGACCATGAGACAGGTCAAAATCTCTAACGTTTTACTGCCATGTCTAATATTAATGTGACTTTTGCTCTAAATTTTCATCAGTAATATCTCTTTTCTCTCTCTTTCCCCACTGAACATTGCTTAAACTATCCGTATTTTTAAGTGATACTACATTTTTAAATATATTTACAATAGGCCCATCAAGGATTTCTCATTGGCAATACGGCTCTTGCAAAGGAACTTAGCTTGAAAGGACCACTGCAGAATATGCATATTAAGGCAGCTCACGGAAATGCTGAAGAATCCACCTATCGCCAGAGGTTTGTCATTTCTTTCCTCTCGCACTTGATTCCTTGACATGGTGATTAACAGACATAAATGCGATCTTCTGTTGCTGTTATTGTTATTGCTTTTGAGATCTGTTTATGGGTGGTTGCTGACATTGAGGTTATGTGTAATTGTTTCTTAACCATCACTTCCTTCTTTTCACCCTACCCTTTCTTCTTTCTCTATCCATTCATCTTTCGAACTCACTGCTCTAATGAATAAATATACCTGAGTTTAATGGTTATGAATCTTGGTAACTGTTTGTTCTTAGTCTGATAATCTAAATTCTGTCATTATTTTGCTTGTACTAGTTTGTTCTGTTCGACTGCTATGAACTATAATAATACAGGAATCAAGTTCATCCAAAGATTAACGGAGGTACGCAGCGGATCATAGACCTGCATGGATTGCATGTTACTGAAGCCATTCATATGCTCAAGTATGAACTATCAGTGTTGAGAAGCACAGCACGGGCTGCAGATCAGCGCCTGCAGGTTTACATAAGTGTTGGAAGTGGCCACCAGGCAAGAGTTTCTCGTATTCCAGCTAGACTTCCAGTTGCTGTACAACATTTTCTCCTTGAAGAAGAGTGCCTTGACTATACCGAACCACTGCCAGGGTTACTTCGCGTTGTGATAAATTGAAGCCATGAACTCGACAGCACGAGTTCCAGGAGTTTTTGACACAACAAGAAAAAAAGAAAAAGAATCAAGTGTAGCCATTTTTGTATCTATACAAGGGAGGAAATGGAAATGGAAGTATTCAAAGTTCAAAAAAAGATTGAAAATGAAATCAAAAAGGGGAAAAGAAAACAGAAGAGCTGAAGTGAGAAGTGTATGATTAATGTTTAGAAGCCTAGATGAGAGTAGCAATTGCATTTTGATAGAGCATGGGGGGGGGGGGATGAGGCCGACTCTAGCGGCCAAGTTCTTGCTCTCCGTTTTTTTAATTTTGTATCTTAAATTTGTTCTCTGTTAAATTTCTTCTTCAATTACATGATGTTTGTACAATTCACGAAAAGTAGACTCTTGTGCCAAAATTTGACTATTTCTAGGATTGATGCTGAAAACTTTTCACCCTTTTTTTATTTTTAATTTATTGTTCGCTGTCTATATTTAGAGTTTTTTACTATTCTTCTTAACAATGTTGTTTCTCAAGTTGAACTTAAATTTTTTTTCTTCTTGAAAGATTACAATATATTTTATTACTGTACTTAACACCTGTTGGAGTTGAGATAGCAATTTGAACTTCATTGAGCTTTGTTTTTTTTCTTTTTCTTGGATTCAGATCAATTATTTTTTGTTTGATTTTTAAACATGTTCAATTTTAAGTCAAAATTAAAATATTTAAATTTAGTTTATTTGATTTTGAGTTAAAATCAAAACACTTGAATTTAATTTATTTAATAATTTAAAGTATTCGAGTTTGAGTGGTAATATAATGTAATTTTAGGATTTTTCAATCCGGAGTTAAATTAATTTACAGGTGCATGTATTTCGTTTTAAACGGCCAACCTTTTTGACGACAGATTTTTCATTGCCAGCCTTTTTTTGAGCTTATTGACTCACTTAAAAAACGTGCTACATTACGTGTCGAGGCATTATTGGCCCGTCTTTCATACTTCTCACAATGGCGCGCAATCAAATAGCTCTCCTCCAAATCTTTTAAACAGCTTTCGAACTGGGAAATTATTCGGTTTTTGATTAGTTTTAAACACACACACACACATATATATATATATTCCCAAATCTAAATAAAATTAAAATAAATTCTTTCATTAAAAATATGAAGCAAAATAATTTTAATTTGATAAGTATTGTTGTCGTGCGTTCCAAATCGAACCATACAGCTCATTACTTTGCTCGACCTCCGAGTCATCTTCTGCGAGAAACATGTGTCTCTCTACCTGAATCAACAAAATTTAGGATCATGGTGGCGAATGGCGATAATGGAAAATTATAGCATCACTTGATCGCTTTTTTACTTTGCTCGGTGCTCACTTGCTTAATTTCGGTATTGCATATCTTTCTCAATCATGGTGGAAAATGTAAGCTGTGGCTATCACTGTCATACGACTAACAGAGCAGATAACTGTATCGATGGCAACCATTGATGATGGTGAAAAAAACCCTCAACTGCCAATTAAAAGAGGAGTTCAGTTTCCTTCTTTTTACGGAACAAGTACTCTCATTCAAGAAAGGCAAGATTTTACAGATAATTGACAGCTTAGCTGCAAGAAACATATTATCTGCAAATTTAATGGAGCGTCTGCCCATGTTAACTGTTTATAGCATACAAGTTAAATCTGAAAGCTACTGTTATTTGTTCCTCTTTCATTTTCTAAAATATTAGATCGATGTAATATTTCGATATAAACATGTAGACAGAATGCAAGATTTACTAAATACATAAAAAAATTTGTACCCGTCGTCTATGTTTGTTTTCGTTTAGATTCATTTTTATGGTTAATCATCTTTAAAATAAATATTATCTTGTAATCATTCAGTCTTAAACAAATTGTAAAGATATATTAATAAATATATAATTTACTGCTGGTCTAAAATAAAACCCGGTTAATCACGGTGAGCAGAGCACACAGCTTAAATCTCATCCAACTTCTTCAAATGTACATGGAGTGTCTTAACTACACTTTCTAAAGAGTTTGGATTACTTGCGTTCGATATACTATGATTACCAATTACGTCTCAAATACGTGTTTTTAGTTTTGAATATGTCCAATTTGAATTAATGTTTTTCAAAAGGCTAAATGCATTTTAACTCGATATATAGTCATCCATTTTTGTGTACTTAAAAGAATTTTTTTATCACTTTAATAATTATATTTATACAAAGAATTACGATAAAAAATGAAATTAAATAAAATATAAAATTAATTGAAAGACTAAATAGAAAAAAAAAATACTGTCAACAAAAAGAGATGAATTTACATAGTAATATACCCTATAAATTTAATCAAAAATAAACTTAAAAGAAAAGACTAAATAAAAATAAAATCACAAAATAATTAAATTATTTAATTAAAATCAAAATAACATTGTTTTAAATTTTATTTTATTTAATTATTCAAACTTTATAATTTTAAACTCCAAATTCAAACTAAGTATATGAATTAATTTAAATAATTTCTCAAATAATTAAAAAATATTATTTTTAAATAGAATTAAATTATGATCATACAAATAAAAACAACAAATCCAGAAGTTCCTTCTATTCGGTGCAAGTGGTGCATTGGAGAGCCTAAATCTTGGTCTAGTATTAGTAATATTTATTTCTCGTAAATATGTTAGTTAAACTGTCACTATATATATATATGCAACATGGCGTAACAGCTTTTGCCAGCTGCTATCTTCTAAAAGAAGAACCTCTCAACTACTTACCCATTGCAGTCTTAACTACGGCTTATTCATTCAAGTTCCACAACAACTGAAGAATCAACTTCTTCTACCAGCGGATCATCAAAAGAAAACCCTATTTGTTTTTAGCTTCCAGTCGAACCAGATTCCATTTAATGAAAGAATTTATGGCGGCTTGAAAGATGAAAACTCTTTCAACTACTCACCACCGGCCCCAAGTTGGTGTAAGCATTAACTATATCCATCCGCCACCTTACATCTCACATTTATTACATATATATCGTCTCTCTCTCTATATATATGGTACTGGTTCACCACCGTCCTATGCTTATCTTATAGCTTGTTAATCTTCTTTTCAGGCTTTAATATGGCTAGAAAAGAGCAGGATCTGCTGTCAACCGAGATCGTCAACCGTGGGATCGAATCATCGGGGCCTAATGCCGGCTCCTTGACGTTCTCGGTTAGGGTTCGAAGACGGCTTCCGGATTTTCTTCATTCTGTTAACTTGAAATATGTGAAGTTAGGGTACCATTATTTGATCAACCATGGGATTTACTTGGCTATCATACCTGTGTTGGTGCTTGTTTTCAGTGCTGAAGTGGGAAGTCTCAGTAGGGAAGAGCTTTGGAAAAATCTTTGGGTAGATGCTCGATATGATCTTGCTACGGTGCTTTCCTTTTTCTCTGTATTTGTGTTCACCGTCTCGGTTTACTTCATGTCACGCTCTCGATCGATTTATCTCATCGATTTTGCTTGTTATCGTCCCCACGATGACCTCAAGGTTTGTTAACTTTTCATAACCATGAATTTTACAAAAATAATTACTGCTTTTTTATATGTTTCATGGTGTGCTACAGGTGACTAAAGATCAATTCATTGAACTTGCGCGAACATCGGGCAAGTTTGATGAACCGAGTCTTGAGTTTCAGAAGAGGATACTGAAAACGTCCGGGATTGGTGATGAAACTTATGTTCCGAAGGTGATTATGTCGAAGGAAAACTGTGCCACCATGAAAGAAGGCCGACTCGAAGCGTCAACCGTGATGTTCGGTGCACTGGATGACTTGTTTGAGAAGACGAGGATTCGTCCCAAGGATGTTGGTGTTCTTGTTGTGAATTGCAGCATCTTTAATCCGACGCCGTCGCTGTCTGCGATGATCATCAACCATTATAAGATGAGGGGGAATATCTTGAGCTATAATCTTGGGGGGATGGGGTGCAGTGCTGGGATTATTGCGGTGGATTTGGCTCGAGATATGTTGCAGGCCAACCCGAATAACTATGCTGTTGTGGTGAGTACTGAGATGGTGGGGTACAATTGGTACCCGGGTAAGGATCGGTCCATGCTTGTCCCGAATTGTTTCTTCAGGATGGGATGCTCCGCCGTGCTTTTGTCAAACCGCCGTAGTGACTACCGCCGTGCTAAGTACAGGCTTGAACACCTTGTGAGGACGCATAAGGGAGCTGATGACCGAAGTTTCAGGTTTTTTTTCCCTTTGTTTACCTGTTCTTGCTGGATAATAATAGTTAACGCTACATTGTAGATGAGTAAGTAGTGTCCGATAAATAAGGTCGGATCAATTAAATAAACTTTAATTTATGATAATGAAATACCAATTAAAAGAAGAAGAAAAGACGCATAAAAAGTTATTTTCATTAATTTGACTGTGGAATATTCTTTTTGTACTAATAAATAAAAAATTAGTTACAAATTAGATAAAAAGAAAATCGGTTGAGTTTGATCATAAGGTTCTGTTAAATAAAATACATTTAAATAATAATTAAATCTAATAAGGATAAAATACTCTTTTCATCCCTTAACTTTTGTATTGTTCTAATTTTAGTCACTTAACTTTAAAAATAATAATTTCATCATTAAAATTTTGAATTACTCATGTCTTGATCATCCTGCTATTAATTATTTATTAGAATCATTTTAATACATTTTATTTTTAAAATTTTATGAAAAAACCTAAATATTTAATTCTCTTTTGTGAAAACACTTTTGAAATGTTCTTTTCAAAAAAATTAATATATATTTTTGAATGTTTTTTGATTTTTTAATATTGGAGTATCTTCTTCCAAATCCATTTGGAGAAGATGAAAGGAGAGGTAAATAATATAACTCGATTTTATGTTGATCGGATGATTATATTGTAAATTAAATTCATTTACTTTAGATTTAGATTGAGTTTAGTAAGTATTAAAAAAATAAAAAAAATCAAATTAATAGAGTAATAATTGATAATAGAACAAGTTTATTAATGTTTGGAGTAGTAAAAAATACATTAAAAAATGAAGATTTTGATAATCACACCACATGAGATAAAATTGTTAAAGTTTTTTTAATGATGAAATAGACATAAATATATTAAAAAAGAGAAACAAGATTAAGTTGGCAACATTCAACTTCCATGTTGGAACAGTCAATATCATCGTGTCATTTTTAATTTAATGTTTTAATAATTAAAAAATAGTTTGAAATTTAAAAAATAAAATAAAATAATTTAGAATTAAATGATTAAACATGATGAAGTATAATTTACTCATTCTATTAAAATTAAACAAAACTGAACTAACCATTACTATTAATATTGAATTTTTATTTTGTAGATTGTTTAAGAGAGTTTTATTTATTTATTATTGGATAAACGTGTGGGTCAGGTCAATCTACCAAGAGGAAGACCAACAGGGTTTCAAGGGTCTTAAAGTCAGCAAAGATCTGATGGAAATCGGCGGAGACGCCCTCAAAACCAACATCACAACCCTGGGTCCACTCGTTCTACCCTTCTCGGAGCAGCTCTTCTTCTTCGCCACCTTAATCTGGCGCCATTTCTTCGGCGGCAACAACAAATCAAAAGCCTCACTATCTCCATCCTCGAAGCCATACATCCCGGACTACAAGCTGGCGTTCGAACACTTCTGCGTGCACGCGGCGAGCAAAACCGTGCTGGACGAGCTGCAAAAGAACCTCGAGCTCAGCGACAACAACATAGAAGCGTCGAGGATGACATTGCACCGCTTCGGCAACACTTCGAGCAGCAGCATATGGTATGAACTGGCGTACTTGGAAGCCAAAGAGAGGGTTAAAGGAGGCGATAGGATTTGGCAGATCGCGTTCGGTTCTGGGTTTAAATGCAACAGTGTGGTTTGGCGTTCCATGCGTCGTGTGAGGAAGCCTTCCAGGAACAATCCATGGCTCGACTGCATTGATAGATACCCTGTCAGAGCTTGAATTTGGCTTTAATGGCTGCTGCTTGGTTGATAATAACGAAGGACAAGATTGTTGGCAAAACTAGCGTGGTTGATAATAACGGCCCTTCAATGGCTGCTGCGTCGTCTCATGGTTGTGAAACTTATCTCCACTAATTTAACTGTATGAAAAAGTTTGTTAATTATAGTCCGAATTATGCTCTAAATAACAAGTAAACATACTTGGTGATTTTTTAAACTATGTTTTCAGGTAAAAAATCTGGACCGTTAAATAATGTTTTCAAAAGGAAGAAATGTAAAACATGTACTAAGGAACTTACCAGTGGGCCAATCCAACTAAAAAAGAAGTACAAAAGAGTAAATTTTTATAATTCTAATCTAACAAAGCTAGAACGTAACCTGATAAAAGAAGAAGCTTGATCAACCAAACCCAAAACCTAAATTGTTTTTGCAGGCCCGAGTCCAACAAAAGAACAACTTACGGTTCAAACGAAGAAGAGTCTGGTCTGGTCCAAGTATGGCCTTTTTGTAATTATAAAGTAATGATTACACCCTAAAGTAGTCAAAGTATTAATAGACAATGAAGCTACCTATCGTCATGATTTCACAGGTAAGTCTTCCCCAAAACCAATACCAAAGCAACAAATATCAAACCAGTTGTTAAACAATGGCCGAACCAAACAAATTTCCAAAAGATAAGAAAAGGACTTTCTTTTTCACCATCGACCTTTCTAGACCAGAACCGATCGACGTTGTAAAGCCTTCCTTTACAAACATTCCTTATCCTTCCATGCTGGTTCTGCCATTTGGCTCCAAATCATTATGAACACGTATCTTCTTCCCACATGTTCACACGTAATGGTTCTAATACCTTCCGTTATTTACATCCTCACTTTATAATAAAATAATGTTTTTCTAAATGCTTTGATTGATGATTCAAGCTTGGGTTTTGCCTTTGGAATCAAGTTCTTTGTTCAATCTTTATGTCATCCCTTTCCCCTGTCCTTATCCCTCTAATAAAAAGAACATTTTTTTAAGCTCAAACCCCTTTTTTATATATGGCTTTAAACTCGAAAACCAGACACATCGGGGAAACAACATAAATTTTGACAGTGATTTGCGGTGGTCTTTAAAAAATGGGTGGATTGAGTTGGTTCAGTTTCTTGTTTTTTGTTGGCGTGTTGGGATTTGAAAGCAGCAAAGGTGTGTGGGGGTTGGCTTGCAACTGGGGATTGCAGTCGACTCATCCGTTGCCACCGGACATAGTGGTGAGGCTGATGAAAGATAATGGGTTCGATAAAGTAAAGCTGTTCGAGGCTGATCCTTTTGCTCTTAAGGCACTTGGGAAATCTGGGATTCAGGTTATGGTCGGAATACCCAACGACATGTTGGCGTCGCTTGCCGGAAGCCCCGGAAATGCTGAAGCTTGGGTTCAACAGAATGTTTCCACTTTCGTTTCCAAATTTGGAACTGATATAAGGTAACAATCTCTCGTCTTTTCAATATTTTTCTTTATTTATTATCTCTCTATAACTCATAATAACATCAAATCTGATTGTTCTAAATAAAAATTTATAAAAAAAAAGAGTTTTTGTAAGTTATTTAATTATAACATTATTGTAAAGAAATGATATTAAGCGAATATATTCAAAGTAACATCCGAGGATCTTTTGTACTATATGAAATGTTATTGGTTAAATTATGGTTTCAGTCCCGTTACTATATTTTTATTTTTATTTTTATTTTTATACTTTAATTTATTTTAATTTAGACCCTTTATTTTTGTAATGTTACTAATCAATTTAAGTAATTAACACTGAAAAGCATTTAGGTTAAAATACTGACATTAATTTTTTTCTTGAAAGCGTCCATTTAATATGATATGTTTAATATTATAAATTAGTACATGTTTTTGTTTCATTCAGCATGGGATTTGTGATTTTCAGGTTTGTAGCCATTGGCAATGAACCTTTTCTTCATAGCTACAAAGATATGTTCATCCAAACAACATTTCCAGCCCTTCAAAACATTCAAGCAGCTCTCGTCAAAGCAGGTCTAGGCAAGAAAGTGAAGGTAACGGTTCCGTTGAATGCCGATGTCTTACAGACCGGCAGCAGCCTACCGTCTGGCGGCGATTTCCGACCTGATATCCATGACCTAATGCTTAAGATCATCAAGTTCCTTCAAGACAATGGTGGCATTGTTACCATTAACATCTACCCTTTCCTTAGTCTCCAAGCTGACCCCAATTTCCCTAAAGAATTTGCCTTCTTCAGCAACACTGCTAATCCGGTCGTGGACGGTCCCATCACTTACACCAATGTTTATGATGCAAACTTTGATACCCTCATTTCGGCTCTTGAAAAGAACGGTTTTGGGCAAATACCGGTCGTCATTGGAGAAGTTGGCTGGCCAACCGATTGTGACCCAAACGCGAACATAGACAACGCCCGCAGGTTCAACCAAGGCCTTCTAGACCATATTGCTAAGGGCCAAGGCACCCCGAAACGCCCAGCCCCAACCGACGTCTACATATTTTCGCTGATCGACGAAGACAACAAGAGTGTTGAGCCAGGGAACTTTGAGAGGCATTGGGGCATCTTCAATTACGATGGAAGCGTCAAATATCAGTTGAATATGGGGAAAGGCAAAACCATTGTCCCGGCCAAAGGTGTAAAGTACTTGGCCAGGCAATGGTGCGTGTTGTCACCTTCGGCAGGTGTGTCGGACCCCAATGTTTTGTCTCAAAGCATTAGCTACGCTTGCCAGTATGCTGATTGCACGAGCGCTAGCCCCGGATCCTCGTGTGGTAATCTAGATCCCCAGCGTAACGCTTCGTATGCGTTCAATATGTATTACCAGACCATGAATCAAAGGAAAGATGCATGCTCTTTTAAAACTTATCTGTGGTTACGACCGTGGATCCGTCTCAGCCACCTTGTCGTTTCGAGATCATGATCGACATAGGAAAACATGACCTCACTGCCTCTGGCAGTGCTAAGGTGGCCGGAATCGGAAGCCAACTACTTTTATTCCTGATGATGGTATTGGCTTTGGTTATCAATGGTGCTCGTTGATTTGAGTTCGTCCTCTTTGATGCAGAGTCGAGCAGTGAATGATCAGCTTCATTTCTTTTGTTTCTTGATGTTGAAATTTTCTGACTGGACTGCCATTGATTATTGGTTTGACTCCATTGTAAAATAACCATTGATTCTATGAATTTATTGTTGAATTTAATTAATTTTCTGATCACAAGCATGTTAATTTGTTCTCTATCAGCTTTCAATGGCTTCCACCATGACATCAATATCTATCATTCTTTTTTTACCTTCGTCTTCTCTTAAACTTTCGCTCTCGATGTTTCTTCAACAAATTCTCTGAACCCGAATCTCACTTCCGTACAAAGTTTCTGCAAATTAACTCCACATCCATATTCTTGTTTCGATTCGCTGAAGCTTTCCATTTCATTGAACATAAGTCCAACATCCCCTTTTCTACCTCCTTAAACCCACAACACTGCATTATCCGACGTTGCAAAGCTAACGAACCTATTCTCCAACGGCGGACATGGAAACATTATCATCAAGAAGAACACTGCAAGATTGCAAGGAACTCCATCGAAACTTCAAATTAAAGTTTCCATTAACTATAACCATTAACCCAGGTAACCCCTTCATTTTATAGTTTAATTAACCGAACCGTTAATGTTTAATAATTTCGGTTAACCAAACCGCTAAAATATCAGGTAACAATTACAGTTAATGAATTTTGATAAATGGTTAACCATGGATTAACCATTAATATAATTAATTAATTGTATTTTTTAGAGAATAGAATTAAAAGTAAAGTCAAGATGATTCCTCCTATTTTATAGTTATCATATTTATCTTATATAAGAGCACATTAAATCAAATATATATATATATATATATATGAAAGAAATACATAATTTTAAATTATAAAATATAAATATACACTAAGATTTTAAACTATAAAAATATAAATATACCTCGTAATATATATATTTCTATAAAATGAAATAAATTTATAAATAAATAAATTTTTTACAAATATATATATGTTTCTATCGTCGTAAATTTTATGAAATTTTAAATTGTGTTGTTCGAAAAAATTGTAATAGGTTAACTATATATTACCCTATAACTGAACCGTTAATAACAGTTAACTATTAATGGCTAACATTTTTTAATGGTTAGGCTATGATTAACAAAATTTAATAATCGTTATAACGGTTAACGGACCATTTAGACTTAATGATACGATTAGCCGACCATGAACAACCCTAATGGAAACAGTTATTTCTCAAGCATCCAATTCGTTTTGAATCCAATTTGTTCATATCGTAGCATTGAGTTGGATGTTGAAGATCTTATATTCAAACTAATTTGAGACATTTACAAGGTAATTTATCTGGTTTGTTTCACAAATGTTTTATGTATATTTGATACAGTGTGAAATTTGGCTTTTAAAAGTTATTTGTCCTTTGAAACTATACATGTTCCTTCATCCACGTGCATATAACTATGGAAGGTAGCTACATGGTGTTCAGTCAACTCAACCATCATCCAAGGCAGGCACTGCTCCATGTTAGTCGAGTTACTTGTATGTATCCAAATGGTGCCGAACCTATCATCTTAGGCTGGAGTAGAGGTCATCCAGAGCAACATACAAGGGCTCAGCAGCCTTCGGCCTGCTTATGGTCCCGAGTAATATGTCAGCAGTGGTGAGATAAGGATCGCCATAGAACCGTAGGTTGGTATCCATCCTTGTCGTAACAATGTTCCCTTCCAATGACACACCGACAAATGCCCCTGCAAATTGTGAAGTAAAAATGCAAAATGGATAGTTGAACGCACAAACTGGTCAAAAGAAGCGTACAAATACATTGCGGGATGGAATACCTTTGCTGCAACTGTACGTGTAACACATGCCGATGCCTCTATCCCCTGCCCGAAGATCTGCTTCCACCACTCTCCCCACAGGTCCTGCTGCAGCACTGCAGCCAGCACCAAGAGAAAAATGCATTCGACTACAAAATGTCTTCACGGCTTTTGTGTCATGAAGCACAATTATGAAATCCATGAGCTCACCCCCAATCTGAGGAAGACATAAAAATAGTGTATAGCTAATAGATTATAGATATAAATACTTCGGAACATGTAAGACAATTGATCTTTGGCTGCCTAGACTGGTATATGCAGCTTGAATGGGTGTATTTTCTTAGTCAAAATTTTACCTGAGCACCCCATCCTAAACCAATAGAGAATATAGCTGATGGGGCAGACCATGTTCCATTGGACCTTCGAGCAATAACAAGACCAGTCCCAAGTTTGTATGCCAAAAGAACTCCAGCTTTAACAACAGTTAAAATAGCCAACCCTTTGGCTCCTCTCAGAACTGTCAGTGGTATAGATTTCTCAGGATTCAACCTAGCAACCTGTCCATTTGAACGACTGCTATTAGAAGCTTCTCACTGTGCCAACTAATACTCATTGCATAGCTCCAATGTATACAAGAAATTGCAATCAGTTCAATTCGATTTTTTACACAATTAGTTTAACTCAATTATTTACATTGAAAAACAGGCTAAAGAAACAGCATGTGCTCTGGTTGAGCAAGACCATTAAAATGAAAGCTTAATCTAGCCGGGAAGTATGATCTACAAGGATAAATGAAGCTATTGTCTTGTATGAATGATGGAAAACAGAAACAAACCTGGCAATAACTTCTCAAGGTATTTGATGCTTTGTAGATCTCATGTTCCATGGACAAACCAACCGGCAAGTTCAACCAACCTCGAGTACAGGTCCAATCCATGACGTCGTGTTTTGCTACTTGTGAAGCATTGCTAATAGAGTTTATAAGAACACCCTGTAACGGATCAAGCCTCTCATAGCAAGAATCACACACCTTCTGGGGATTTCTATCCCTAAATTTAACAGGTAGCAAGCACCTCCCCTTAGAACATGCTCTACAGAAAATCCCTCCACAAAACCGGCAGTGATGTCTTCCACGTGTAATTGCTGTAAAGGGAGCACTGCACTGCATGCAAACTGTGCTAGAACTATCTGGAAGCCACTCCGGAGGTTCAGCTTCCAAAACCTCCTTATAGGCATTATAATTTATCCCACTTGGTTCCAAAAGTGGCGGGGCGCTCGGTTTATAAACAGAGGACTGCAAACAGGTATCCACATTGTTTCCAGACCCCAGAAATGAAACGTTAGAACTTTGGCACTGCTGATCCGCAGAAACATTCGAGGCGCTTTTATTACTCCCAGTTACGATTGCAATTAACCCGTTCAACACATTCTTTAAGTTCACCTCTGGTTCCAAGCCATTTGGCATTGACATAGATACATCATCACTGGAATCATTTCCTCCATCGATGAACTCATCGGAATCAGCCGGAAACTGATAAATATTATCTTTTTTTATCGACTTGGATGCTGATGAGATTATAGTTTTATCTTCTGGCACAGTCCAAACAGGATCGATATAATCATCATCAACAAATTGATACGCATTATTAATATTATTCTCCTTTTCCACCTCTGAAAGAGAAGAATACGAAATCCTACCCTCAAAGCTTGCCATCCAACCACAGCACCAATAATTTGATTATTAAATCCAACAAGTAATTTCACTGGAATTCAAAAATCAATACCCGTATTAGCCGCCTATTAAAGAAACCCTAAACAACAAATAACTGCAATTTCCAGCAAATTAAATCACGAAATAAATAATATGTTTAGTAGAGGACCCCAAAAAATTCTTCGTTTTCTACGCATAGTTCAAACGGAATTTTATAACAAAATCAAAATAAAATAAATTTGGAATTTCATGAATCACGATGTTGACTTTGATTTTTCATCCTAATTAATTGTCTGCAAAAGGAGAATGAAAATGGAAATTGAGACCAAAAAAACGAACCTTCTTCGCGCATAGGAAATATGATTACCAGATTGAAACCCTTAATTTAACGATGAGGGGGATATGAAATGTAATCAGATGAAAAATAAATAAATAAATAATAAAGAGGAGAATATGATGAGATAAAAACTTAAGGATCTGGCAATTGCAACAATGAGCGAGGGGTGAACTTTGGGAAGCCCAAATAGTTCCTAATTGGGCTAAAACAAATCCCTTTTTTTAACCATGGATGGAGTTGAAAAGGAAAAATACGTTACGATTCCCTTTCCTTAGACACTTTCCGCCTCACTCGAACCCAAAAGAAAGGAGCTTTGATTCTGGCGGAAATCCGGAAATTCTAAAATATAATTAGGTAATATGAGATAAAAAATTTATAAAAATCAGTTATAACTAAAAAATTTACCAATAACGTAGTTTTATAAGTCACTAAGATAACATTTTCGATTGTAACGAAAAATATTTCATTATTTATAATATTTTTCGGTTATAAGTCTTAAACTCTTACAATGTAATTTTTCTATTACAATCGAAAATATTACAAATTTATATAATGTTTTAAATTGAACATAATAATTTTAAGTTAAAAATCATCTTAAATTAAATTTAAATTAAATGTCATACAATAATTACTTGTGAAAATCTATTTGACTAAAAGGTTGGAGAGTTGAAATTTCATTTCTCTTAGAAAAGGTTGATCAAATCGAAGTATAACTACAGAAATTAATCAATTTAATATCCAAATAACTAATTTTATTAATCAATTAAGCTAATTAATTGAATTTTATATATTATTTTGATAATTAATTCGAATAAAATTAATGAGTTTTGCAAATACACCATCCTTAATTACCTTTACAAATATTTTTAATTTACTTAATACTTAGTGAAATATAGTTTAATCTAACTTCGTGCTCAACCTTAATCTCAATTATTTATAATTAAACGTGAGTTAATTGAGTGAAGTATAAAATATATGTATTTGGCTTTTATGTTAAACTTGATGAAACCTATTTAATTATCTAATAAAGTTAACGTATTAAGTAGACTCAATATAAAAGAGAATATTATGTATATTATTAATTGTTTATACATCTTATAATCATCTCGGACTATTAAAAAAATTATCTAATAAAGTTGATGACGATGTTTATTTCTAATGTAATATATATCATCACTCTAATGAATTAAGTTAGATCATTTATATTTTAATATAAATTTAATTAAAATATTTAAATTTGACTCACTGAGAATTTAGAATATTTACCAAATTAACTTTTTAGTTTTCTCGACGACCAATATATGGACTCGCACTCCAATAATTCTGCACGTGGTAGAAGTAAAGAATAAATATAAAATGAGGTGTCCTACATTACCTCCCGCGAAACACAAATGCATGCCTCATTCGTATCTCATTTTCCGAGTGTGGAGCCTATATTTTTTATGGGTATAAAATGAAGTAACTATTCGATGAATTATTTTTATAATGTTTATTAAGTTAAAGGAATATATATAAATAATTTTTATGTTTTTTAATAAACGAACAAACATTAATAGATATGCATCACTTCGTTCATATTTAAGAGCAAACTTATTTATTGGCTCGTTTATAAGTTTGTTTACTCGGTTCTTATTTTTTTTTACATTTTAAATATTGGTGAAAGTGGGTTAAATTGAATATAATATGAATTCTGAAGTTTAAACTGTGAAGGTTAATAATCTTAAGGACTAATGGCATCATTTTAACATTTTTTTTTCTTAAAAAAAACACTTTCGGAGATAACTGAGGAATTCTTGGGGAAACATGCTTAAATGGGAGATGTCCTATGGAACTTGGAATCAGCACTTCAAAGGAATCAACAAAAAAACCACTCACGACGGCGAGCTTTCTTCTGTAATCACCATGGCGGGCACTTGGAAACGAGCTTAGAGTTCAGCCGAGCGGGTAGCAAGTGAACTTCCTGGTGTCTCAATGACTACAGTTTTTGCTGAAATGCAAAATGAGCAGATGAGATGAACATTGCATGCATAGTTCCCAACCATGGATAGTATAGCCCTTGTTAACAGTGTTTCGTATAAGCGATTCGGCATTTCTGGAATTCCAAGCTCCGGTGGCGGAATTGTCCGGACTCCGGAGTGCATTTAATCCGAAAACGACCGTAGCCCTGTGTTTGCAAGTCAAGGCAATGGAAATAAGAAAATTATCAACTTGTCGGGAATTGACAAGTTGTTTACTTACCCAGCTTTTCTTTTTGAAGAAAATATGGAGTTGGTGCAATCTAGACATGGGTAAACAACCTTTGGAAAAAAACCAACAACTCTCAACTATTTTTAACAAATGGTGCACGTGGAATCTTATCATGTTTTGTCTAATAAATCACATTATCTTGCAAGCCACTTTGATCTTTAATGGCGAAAAGGCTGCAATTTATAAATAAGTTGCAGTAAGTTTTGGGGAGGCCGAGATCTTTCATTTCATGATGGGTTTTCGACTGAAAAGTAACAGTCTTGAAACTCCGACGGAGCGATTGTTAATTTGTGAGGAGAATGAAAGAAAGAAGCTCTGGTTGGCTGGCACTTGACAACAAAAGAATGAATTGAAAAAATTGTTCAAGTACCTAGTTGGTATTTTAACGATAATTTAAGGAAAAAATTATATATTAATCTTTTAGTTATAATGTTACGTTGTCGATTTAATCAGAACTAATGACGGGGTTACCATCTAATTATAAAACAATTATATTTTTTTTTTATAATTTAGATTTTATTACCCAAATAGCATAGTTTTGCTACATAACTAATCAACCAATCAACAACAAAAAGAATCTATGAACATCCTAAATACAAAAACAATGATTGGTTAGACTATACCCCAAACATTACAAAGATTTAAGTTAGTACTATCTAGTTTATTAATATTAGTTCCCCTAAGTCGGATTCCAACAGCGTCTTTAATATCTTTGAGCAAGCATTCGACTGTTCTGTAACGTCCTTGGAAAATTATTTGATTTCTTTCCTGCCACAAAGAGTAAATAGAAGCATACCAAAAATTTCAAAATGATGATAAGAAGAGACCTCCCTTATCATGAAGAACTTGCCCTTGAAACAATTTAATCTCATGTCAAGAATGAAGTCTTCATCCCATTGAGAATCAAAATAGAATTCCAAAGTCCTACTACCAGGGAACATTGCGAGAAAAGTGATCCCTTGTCTCTTGAGAATTGCTGCAATTGACACAAAATTCTTCAGTGCTAATTCTCATTCTTAGAAGTCTATCTCTGATAGGTAATCTGTTCGGTAAAGTCATCCAAGCAATCAAGCTATGATTCGGAATATGCATTGGAAACCAAGAACTTTATGCCAAGAAACTTTATGCCCTTTGAATCGAATAGTTTCCCAAATTTCCCTTATTTACAGGAACCAGAAGAAAGAATTGGTAATGCTTCAGTCCTCATTTTTAAAATTCTATTGATACTCCAACTAACATTGGCACCAGCTTAGAAAACAATTATATTAGGAATCATATTTTTTTTTTTAAATTTACTAGTGAAAATTAATATTTTTAAAATGTTAATGACAATTGCTATATTTTGCATTATTTATTAAAATTTAATGATATGAATGACAAGATAAAATATTCGTAACCTACATAAGAAATATATTAAATTATAATTTATAATTGAATTCATCAAGTGATCTTATGATAAAAAATGTTGATCTCCTTTGTGAGCATAGGTTAATGCAGTCGTGTTTGCAGGATATATGTATGTTGTTAATAATTAAGAAAAATTATATACATATACTACCTTCTAATCATATGTGTTGTATGTGTCAAAGTCACATATTTATATAAGGATGAACCAATTGAACGATAACATCAACACATGTTTATAAATCTTATCTTTAATCACTCAATAAATATATATTTATAAGATCATATTTAAACACATATATAAACAATACGTGATTTGAGAATATCATGGTAAAAAGTTATTAAGTATAAACAATCAAAGATAATTCTTAAACATTACTAGACCTGTATAATAAAACAATCAAAGCTTTTTACCTTCAGCCTTAGATTGATGAAGCTTCTCTTTCGGACATCAGTTTTTTTTGGCATGGGTTTAAGACTTTTTGGTGTGAAGGTTGGTCAATATTGTTTAATCAGAGAAATCAATTCACTTTTAGATCTGAAGCTAGTTAAAATAAGTGTAGTATTTGTCTCGATGAGTTTAATAAAATTATGATAGGATTCACTTTTAAAATGGTTTGTTCCGTAGAAAGTCAATACTATTAAAAGATAAAGTTCAATCATAAAAAGAGGAGAAAAAAATCATGCATTACACCAAAATATTAACGGCGGCGACATCATAATAACAAATCAAAAGTTTAATGATTATATTTTAAGTTTTAAAAGTTTAATAGGTAAAATGCAGCTAACTTAAAAAGTTCAGAGACCATTTTTGTAGTTTACTTCTTTTAAAAAATAGAATGCGATAGCATTAGACCTAAATTAAATATTATTATATTAGGAGGTAGCGGTCAGCGAGGTTGTGGTTTTCGTTTGTTCTTTCTTTACATCTGTAGAAGAAGAAGAAGAAATGGAGAATTTATACTTTTATTGTTAATAATATTTTTTTCGAACTTTTTTTAAAACCCGTCATCATCATCATCATCATATTTCGGGGGAAAAAATAAACTAAAGGAAGCTTAAAAATTGATATTAGCCTAGCAGCTATCTGTTCATCTTAATATATATATATATATATATATTTCGAATCTGAGAACATGTATTTTATTTTAATTTAGTTTCGTTTAATCTTCTTTGTTTCACATACTCGATCTTATTTTTGTTTAGAAGCCTTACAAAAAAGATAATTTTTTTGTTTTGATTTATTCGATCTCTGTAATTTCAATCG